GTGGCTAGGTAAAAATTGGAGGTTTCATCTAGAAGGATAACAGACACTAGAAGACAATAATCTCTGCTAATGTCTATTAATAATATATGTAAATAAATTTCTTTTGAAATGTAATTTTAATCTCCTTGAGCTCTAAGTCAAATTTTTGGAATTTCTTAGAGTTTGCAAGTCCAGTATTCACAGAATAGCTAGTTAAATGAAGATCAAGTAATTAGCTTTATTAACAGCTGGGCAAGCACCAAATAACTCCCCAGGCACATGACTCTCTGTTAAGAGCTGGAGATAATTCAGCTTGAACCTGTGCCTCCTACTCTTGTACCGTATCTCAACCTTGGGACCCACTTCTGCCTGCACAGAAGACTTAAAGTTCACTTGCAATGAGTAGCATGGACTTCAAGTATTTCTCAAATGTCTGGTTGCCAGTGGAATATGGAGAGAAGAGGGTGGGCTTCCTTTCCAAGAGTTGAGGCCCTGCATGGTCTCTTGACATTGTAGAGAAAAGAAGCCTGAGGTGTATGTGGACAAGTCAGAGAATAAAAGGAAAGCCTGCTGTCCCCTTTTGCCCAATAAACGTTGAACTCTGGCTTCAGTTTCTTTCCCCCTCTATGTTGGGGAAAGTCAGTAAAGGAATGGAGAGTGAGAGAGGAAATATTTGTTCTGGAGCTCCCAAAGAGGGTGGGGTTGTGGGGGTAGGAATCTCCTCTTCTGTGGGCCGAAGTGAGAATGTAGTGAGAGAAGAAAAAGGGTTTTTCCTAACCAAAATAATTATTAGAAAAGTGGAATCTAAAACAGTTTTTTTTTTTTTAAAAAAAAGAGGATGATGAGTGTCCTGAGTTGTATAATTAATTGACTCAAATATGCTTTATTTGAGTAATAGAAATATGGCCTTATTTAAGCACATATGATATTTTTATGAAGCCTCAGCACAAAGAAAATAAGCAATGAAGAAAAGCAAAATGACAGATATTTTCAAATATGCAATAGGATGCCTTAGGGAAATGAAGGAGAATGCCACCTAAGGACAGTGGTAGAGAAGGCTGGAAGGGCAGGTGACTGGAGAAGGGCTAAGTAGGGTAGGGCTGAGGTTTGGGAGCCACAGCAGTGTTGTCTTCTATAGAGACTTGTCATAGGGGAGTGTTCCTCAGGCTTCTGGCACACCCAGAGGTAATGGAAGAGCAGTTCACAAAAAGACTATTTTAAGTGTGGGCACAGTTAGAAAAAACAAGGGATGATGAAGTGCTCAGGAGCCAACAACAGTGGGGAGACCCTACAGGAGCAATGGTACAGAGTAGTCACTGGAATCCGGCAGAAGCTTTAGCTGTCGGTGAGGGGTTAGGTGGAGAATCACTGAGTCAGTGGAAGAAGAAGCTGGGGGATAAATACTCTAACTTCTTTCTGTCTCCCCTCGCCCTCCCAAGTTCTGCTGGTGCCTCCAGGACAAACTCAACTAGACGCCAGAGGTAAGGAATCCCAGTCAGTATGGTCATAGAGAGCAGCCTCCTAGGGTCTTTGGCGGGATAGCGAAGGATCAGGAAGGTCAAATGGAGAATAGCCTGCACAATATTTTGGTGGAATGCAAGGGAGGAAGTGTTGGGGAAGAAGCTGTATTAAATTTCCTGCAGCAGTTTAATAAATTAATTGCCCTCAAACATTCATTGAGCAATTGCTCTGCCTGGTGTTGGAGATACCAAATAAACAGAGATCCTGTTTGGTCTTGAGAGGATCATAAGCCAGCAGAGTCGTGATTCTAATGTTAGATGGTGGAGACTTTGGAAGACAGGAATAGCAAAAGACAGCTCTGCCTGATGGAGTCAGTGAAACTGTCCCCAGAAGGAGATGACTTTTGAGCTGGATATTGAGTTTGTATAGAGGATCATTAGGTAGAGGAGAGTATTAAATCTCCCTGGTATGGGGAAGGGTGCAGATGCTGTGAGAATATGGGGAGAAGGTACAGGTCAGGGGAGGAAGATGAGACAGAATCTGATGATCTTTGTGAACCAGACTGAAGAGTTTGGATTTTATCCTTTACATTGGCAATGGGAGTTAACAGAGGCTTATAAAAGACATTGCTTTTTTTAAAGGATGGGGGAACTGATAATGGGTGCTTTTCTTAGCAACTTCTTTTCTTGGTATGCTTTCCTTCTTTTTCCTCTCATTTTTTTTCTTCACTTCTCTTCACCATTCACCATATTTTTTTCCATTGTTATGTTTCTGGTAGATGAAACCTCCAAGGTTAAGGGGGTAGTTACAGTGGATTTGATGTAGGGAAAAGAAAAGGAAACATTCCAGGTCTTTAAAAAATTTCTACTTCAGTTGCCAGTAGGGGTTTAATTTGCGGATGGTAGAAATACTGAGGATGCTGGCACAGAAATTAAAATGCTTAATAAACCAATGCTTAGTGGTCTACCACAAAAAAATAAAAATGAGATGTGACACATGAAAACTTGAAAACTTGTCTTGAAATACTATTCATATACCCTGATGTGTATTATTGTAGACTGAAAAAATAAAAATACAAGCACATACTCTCACATTACTTTCCCACACATTGATCTGCAAAGAGAAAACTCTTCAAGACTTTGGGGAGAAAGTCCATTACTGAATCTATCAACCATCTTCTATCTGCGCTTTTATTTTATATACCCTTTACACCTGTTTAATTAATCCTAAACGTGAGGCTGACTGCTAATTAAACAGCCTGGAAGTGACTGACTGAAGGTAGTAATTTGAGATAATTAGTTTTGGTTTCAAACACTCAATTTTCACATTTTCTGCTCATTTTTAGAAAGGGTGGCTCATTATTATAGGCAGGGTGGGAGTTGCATAAGTCATTTTACTGCTGGACTCTTAGTAGCTCAGGAAGTGGGAGTATCGGTATCCAAATAGGACAAAGAAATGGTATAGTGCTATAGAATTTGCTATAGAATGCTCCCCTATTCCCTTCCCCCCACACAACCCATACTTGCACATACACAGAATTTATTCTAAAGTGAAAGTCAGATGGCTAACTTACTTTCATTAGAATATAGGAATGCCCATGCCTTTGATATTTGGGAAATTTTTACCTAGTAAGACTTAGATCTCACTAAGTTATCTACGGTTTCCTACCAAGATCCTCTGAAAACAAACAAGAAAAGGTGAAAAAGGGCAAGATTTGGTGTGTGGTTTGAGATTTGGAGGGGTGTCCTTGAGAGTAGTTATGTACTATGGAGGCACAAAATCTAACCAGGAGAGGCTGGGTGTGGTGGCTCATGCCTGTAATCCCAGCACTTTGGGAGGCCGAGGCGGGTGGATCACGAGATCGGAGATCGAGACCATCCTGGCTAACATAGTGAAACTCCGTCTCTACTAAAAATACAAAAAATTAGCTGGGTGTGGTGGCGGGCGCCTGCAGTCCCAGCTACTTGGAAGGCTGAGGCAGGAGAATGGCCTGAACCTGGGAGGCGGAGCTTGCGGTGAGCCGAGATTGCGCCACTGCACTCCAGTCTGGGTGACAGAGCGAGGCTCCTTCTCAAAAAAAAAAAAAAAAAAAAAAAAAAAAAAAATCTCTAACCAGGGAAAAATTTGTCAAGATAAGGCCAGTATATCTGTCAGAGAAGGCAAAGGGCAGGATCAGATGGGTCATGTTTTTCACGGTCCCACAGTGTTAACAAGTAAGTTAACACGGTCCCCACTAGGAGAACAGAACCAGAAAGAATTTGGGGTTAAATGGGCCACGCTATTCTGGGTACTCACTGTTACGGCTAATGTAGGTGGATCCAAGTTACACGGAAGCCGAATGAATAGTCAGCACCCTGGACAGCTCCAAGCACATTGCTCTGCTGCTGCTCCCGGGGTGACTTTTATATTTTAGGGAGTTCACTGTCATTTCACTGGCCACCAGTATGGAATAGGACTCTCTAGACTTAGGAAGGTTATTTAGATGTTGAGAGCTTTACAAATATATCAAGGGTGGAGTTGAAACGTCTATATAGATTGGGAATCATTTGTCTAGACTGTGGTGGGGACTATTGGATCCCAGAGTGTGCAGCCCTGTGGGGAAAGATGGAACTGCAAACTCTGACATCCTCTGAGCACTGATGTTAGCTGCAGCAAGTGATGTAGCACACTATTAATTTTTTTATGTACAAGTCAAACCTGCATCTTCAACCAAGCTACCTGAATTAGGGCGTCTTGAAGTCATTTTGACCTCTGAACTTTCACTCATACCATGGTATGGCAGCAGAGGGGTTACTAGACACAACCACACAGCCCACTCTCCTACATTATTGAGAAATGACATAAGATTCCTCGTTTTGAAAAATTTCTGGCAATTCACCCCATTAAAAGAAAAATAGTCTCTTCTTCTAAAGAATTTATGGTCTGGATTCCCTTTTCTGTGATGTTTTGGATGGGGTTAGAAAGATTTTTCTATAAGAGGATATGTGGTTGCTGGCAATTCTCAAATCTTTTTGTGGCACTCTGATTACATCAATAAACAGTCAATAGACTTGTAAAACTATATATTTAAAATAATTTACTAAAAATGTAGTCTTAAGACTGAAATGGCATCAAGAGTAAAAAAATCTCATATTAAATTCCCTGTTAGTTATTGTATAGCATTCATGTCCTATAAAGCCAAAGCCAGTTTCAGAGGTGACCTTTTCTGATGCATACACCTTCGTTTTTCTCTTGTTTCTGCATCAGAGCTTATCATGTACAGACTAAAAAAGCAACATCAACAAAAAGCACAAATGTTTTGCTTTGGCTCCAGAAACAATGGAAACTAAAGCAAACTGAAATTCTTTCTCACTGTTTAGAAATATTGTGCATTGAGAGAAAGTAAGCCTATAGATCATTCAAAAATACTTTCTAATTAAATTGGTAGTCATAAAACTGTATTTTGGCTTCAGGCTGATACGTCTAGGTTCTGGTATAGCCTTGGCTGTTTAGCTCGTATGACAATCCATCATTCTTCAAGATTCTTCTTGGGTTGAAATGACCCATCATTTGTTTTGCAGATACCTCAAATCAGCTATGCATCCACAGCCCCAGAGCTAAGTGATAACACCAGGTATGACTTTTTCTCTCGAGTGGTCCCGCCTGACTCCTACCAAGCCCAAGCCATGGTGGACATCGTGACAGCACTGGGATGGAATTATGTGTCGACACTGGCTTCTGAGGGGAACTATGGTGAGAGCGGTGTGGAGGCCTTCACTCAGATCTCGAGGGAGATTGGTAAGCATATATTTATCAGATGATTGTATTTGGAGGTGACAGGTTGCTGATGCCTGAGCATCTCCAAGTGCTCTCTTATCTGTAGGGAATAATTAGAACTCCTACAAATGCATGAACTAGGCTGTCCACTCTAGAGGGAAGCTGGGTTTATTATAAATGATTTTGTTGTTCATAGGCCTATCAAGGTGACATTTTGGTGCTAATTTAGGACTCCTGACTAAGTAGGGCTCCTGACTCAAGTGAACATTTTTTAAAGTTGTCTGTTTTGACAAGGGAGTTTGCTGGCACATTAGAGGCACTGTAAATTTGAATAAATGACATAGTATTTGATTGTTCTAGACGGAAGTTTACATTAGCAAGTCATTAAATTAAAAAAAAAAGTCAATGGAATTTAACATCCAACACTAGAGGGATTAAGTCTAGTAATCATCTTAAAACAATGCTGAAGTAGCCCCCAAGGCTATACTTAAGCAATATTCTTATTGTCATGTTTGACTTTTTGCATTTTTATTCTTAATGAAAACTCTGAAGCTTAGGGTGTGGTGAAGGGCAAGATGTAAAAACTTGTTTACAACAAGGTACTGCTGACCTCCATCCTGGGCTTTTTTTCAAGGTGCTTATTCAAGTGTCTAGGCATTTCACCGTCTTGTATATGTACCAATGATGTTATAAATCCATTCTACTACTTTGAAAACACAGAGCAAAACAGAGGAACAACTTAGAGCACAGATCTTAACTGCTGATTTGTCAACAACGTATCTTTGTGAATGAAATATGTTATTGTTACTTAAGTACTATTATTCTTATTAAGAATGAATGCATTTTTCTATAAGAGTAATAATATTTTGTGGAAAGATTAAAGTGTCCATTGATTGTTTTTCAGTAATTTTGAGCCTGTAGAAAGACATTATGTTGATAAATTTATTGTTTTTCTTAGAAGTCTTGACTCAGAAAAAGATCATGGGAGTGATTTGGGCTTAACCCTAATTACCGAGGACAAAAAGTCTGATGTTATTGAAATAGGATTTTCACTTGAGAGACTTGCAGATGACTGCAAGCTTTCCTGTACATAGTAGGGCATAGAAAATTATAATACACAATATTTAGTATCTTTAACATTTGTTCTACATTTGTGCTATTGCAGAAAATGTATAAAAGGCCTGGTCTTGTTGGACAGATTGGGCTAATTGATTTAATTGGACAACTGTTCACACCTGCTGTAAGTGTGCATGATGCCATAATCTTTGCTCTCTGGGAATTTATATCATTATTGCTATAAAACAGATTCAAAACATTCAATTGATCTTTAAATTATGACAAATTATATTATCTTCTTGGATAAAAATCTAAAGTTCATCTTTAGAGGAAATACCCACTCAAATGAAAACAATAGCTTCTGGAAATAGCATTAATGTATTATTTAAGCAACTGATGTCAGTTCTTACCAGAGTGATAATTCAACAAGAGAAGGAAACTAATAAAGTATGTATTGAAATAAGTTTTCTGCAGTGATCCTGGACATTCTGCAACTTGAGGACACATTTTTTGTGCATGAGATAGATTACTATAAAAAATTCAAAACAGGACATAATCTGCCAATTGTTGCAGAATCTGACAAAATGCATTGTTCTAAAAGTTAAGTGAAACCACAGTTTTATTCTTTTGACTAAAATAAGAAATACTTAGTTTTTATTTTTTAGGGAGCATTGCTATGCTTTGGTAATACTGTCACATAAAAGGATTTAGATGGTGCCATTCATTATTCCTGTTTCTATCATAGTCATTAGCATGGGAGAAAATAATTTTGGTGCCTTGTATATGCTCTTGATTAGAGCAACACATTCCTTCTGTGTTGATCTTTTCAGTATTCTGTGACTTGATTGGTTGTCCATTCTATTTCAGTTCTTACTTATCTGGGGAATGGAGGAGGGATGGATTGTCAATTAATATGCAGAATACTGAAAAGGCCAAATTAGTACCACACTGGAGTATGCCATGGAATATATTAAATATCAAAATCATCCCTCATTTTAATGACAAAGATTTTTATCTAGAACAAAAATAGCTGAAAATTAAACCTTTTATATGACAATGATATTAATGGGAATGGCAAATGGTAGCAACTTAACCCATTCTGAAATTATCTGATGTCTCTAATGAAAATTCATTAGTTCTAAAACATTTGCAGCTCTTACTACAACACTGATGACATCTGTCACCATGTTAGTAGTATGTTTTTAAAAAAACCTCAGTAGCTTGACTGAAGGAGATGTATACGTTAATTTATTTTGGAGTGTCTGCCCATTAATAAAATTGTATATTTCCCCAACTCATAATGTTCTCTGTACTTTGTTCTGAATTTCTCTTTAGCAACATTGATTACTAAGAAATTTCAGTGTAAATTTAGGCTTCCTCTGTCTTACTTCTCATTAACTCAAGCAGATCATAATGGAGTGATGGTGAAATGAAAATCGGTTTAGTGATAAATTGCTTCTAGAATGGTTTTCATTTTAACAAAATCAGACTTGGGGAAGTCTCCTTTGTTAATCTGGGAGAATGAAGTTTATGAGTGTATGGTGGTCATGATCAGACCTCAGTGATGGCTCTTCCCTAGTTGAGATCTTTCTGAAGGGGAGAGGGCCAGGAGACGCTTGATAAAGACAAATAGCCCCTTGATATCCCAGCTGTTGTAGTGTCATCCCAAGGCATCTCTTGACTATAGGATTATTGCTGGAGAAGGAAAAAAACATATTTGGTATCAGCAAATAGCACAGTTTTACTGACTGGAGCATAGTTTGTATAGTGAAGTATGGGAGACAAAATTGGAAGGCTTGACATAGACACATGATTATTTCAAATCATAGGTTGTTTATTTTATCCTTAGTTTTCTAGACAATGGAGGTGTGCTAGGCCATTCTGCATTGCTATAAAGAAATCCCTGAAAGTGAGTAATTTATGAGAAAAGAGGTTTAATTGGCTCATGGTTCTGTGGGCTGTACAGGAAGCATAGTGGCATCCACTTCTGGGGAGGCTTCAGGAGGTTTACAATCATGGCAGAAGGTGAAGCAGGAGCAAAGGAAGGAGGTGCAGCACACTTTTAAATGACCAAATTTTGTGAGAACTCACTATCTTGAAGACAGCACCAGGTGACGAGAGATCCTCCCCATGACCCAAACACCTTACACCAGGCCCTGCCTCCATCACTGGGGATTACATTTTGACGTGAGATTTGGGTGGGGATAAATATCCAAACTATATCATTCCACCTTGGTTCCTCTCAAATCTCATGTCCTTTTCACATTGCAAAATACAATTATGCCTTCCCAATAGTCCCCACAAATGTCAACTCATTGTAGCATTAACTCAAAAGTCCAGGCTGGGTGTGATGGCTCATGCCTACAATCCCAGCACTTTGGGAGGCTGAGGTGGAGTTTGAGACCAGCCTGGCCAACATGGTGAAACCCAGTCTCTACTAAAAATTAGCCAGGCATGGAGGCATGTACCTGCTGTCCCAGCTACTTGGGAGGTTGAGGCAGGAGAATTGCTTGAACCTGGGAGGTGGAGGTTGTAGTGAGTTGACATTACACCAATGCACTTCAACCTGGATTACAGACCAAGACTCCATCTCAAAAAAAAAAAAAAAAGGTGTCCAAGTTCAAAGTCTCATCTGAGACAAAGCAAGTCCTTTCCACCTATGAGCCTGTAAAATAAAAAACAAGTTATTTACTCCTAAGATACAATGTGAGTAGAGGCATTGGATAAACATTCCTGTTCCAAAAGGAAGAAATTGCCAAAAGAAAGGGGCTGCAGGCTCCATGCAACTTCAAAACTTTAAAACACAGCAGGGAAGTTATTACATCTTAAAGCTCCAAAATGGTTTCCTTTGACTCCATGTCCCATATCCAGGGCACGCTGTTGTGAGGGGTGGGCTCCCAAGGCCTTAGGTAGCTCCACCCCTGTGGCTTTTCAGGGTTCAGCCCTTGTGTCTTCTCTTATAAGTTGTTGAGTACCTGCAGCTATTCCAGGCACCGGGTGCAAACTGCTGGTGGATCTACTATTCTGGAGTCTGGAGGATGGCCTCTTTCTAACAGCTCCATTTGGCAGTGCCCCACTGGGAACTCTGTGTGGGGGCTCCAGCCCCACATTTCCCCTTGGCACTGCCCTTGTAGAGGTTTTCTGTGAGGGCTCTGCCCCATCAGCAGGCTTCTGCCTGGGTGCCTAGGCTTTTCTATACATCCTCTGAAATGTAGGCAGAGGGTGCCAAGCCTCATCACTCTTGCACTCTGTGCACTTGCAAGCTTAATGCCACATGGAGGCTGCCAAGGTTTATAGTGGCTCATACTCTCCAGAGCACTGGCATGAGCAATATCTGAGGCCCTTTGAGCCAAGGCTAGAGCTGGAGTGGCTGGGATGTGGGTAACAGTGTCCTGAGGCTGCACAGGGCAATGGGGCCCTGGACCTGGCCCATGAAAGGACTCTTCCCTCCTATGCCTGTAGGCTGTGATAGGAGGGACTGCTATGAAGGTCTCTGAAATGCCATGGAGGCCTTTCCCCCATTGTCTTAGATATTAGGACTTGGCTTCTTTTAGTTATGCAAATATCTCTAGCAAGTGGTTGCTCCACAGCCTGCTTGAATTCCTCTCTTGAAAAAGCTTTTTCTTTCCCTGCCCCATGGCTATGGTATAAATTTTCCAAACTTTTATACCCTGCTTCCCTTTTAAATATAAGTTGCAGCTTTAAATCATTCCTTTGCTCCCACATCTGAGTGTAGGTTATTAAAAGCAGCCAGGTCACATTTTGAATGATTTGCTGCATAGAAATTTATTCTGCTGTATACCCTAGGTCATTACTTTCAAGTTCAAACTTCCACAGAGCCCTAAGGGATGAAGAGAATGCAGCCAAGTTATTTGCTAAGGCATAACACAGGTAACCTTTGCTCCAGATTCCAGTAAGTCCCGCATTTCCATCTGAGACCTCAGCAGCCAGGATTTCACTGTCCA